TATTTATTATGTATATGTAAATACACACACATACAGTATATATTTTGAAAATATTTATGTTTATACATTTATATATTCATATTCTTATATATTATATATAAATATATTTAATATAAAAACATACCATATTTTTCTTAAATATACATACATGTGTTGGTATTTATATATACATAATAAATATACACAGTATACACACATATATTATGTAAACAAAAACTTTTATTTTGGATGCGATTAATTGTTTGACAGCACTACTCTAAACGTTTCCTCAGCACTGACCCCTCTAGCTTGAAAACCTCAGGCCAGCACTACACAATAGACTACAGTAATGCACCTGTCTTGGCATCACAGATGTAATATGTTCGCATGGTCTCTGGCCAGTGCTTCCGCTCCTCCAGGTGCTCAGTGATATCCAGATAAGCCTCGTCCAGACTCATAGGCATGAAATGAGGGTCATATTCTGAAAATATCTCCCGTACCTTTAAGACAGAGCCAGGCATTAAAAAACAGTAGCTATGACTACTGAATAATGTAGGACTAAGATACAACATACCTGGGCACTCACTGCTCTGTATTTGTCAAAGTTAGTCGGCACAATGACAAGATTTGGACAGAGCTTCTTAGCAATGAACCCTGGCATGGCAGCACGGACACCAAACCTCCTAGCGTGGTAATTGGAGGTTGACTGAAAATGAGAACGATTTAAAACGTCAGCATTGTAGATAAAACGTCAGCATTGTAGATATTTGACGATGCTCTTGGTTTATTTCAGATTCTCACCAGCATGCTCATAGATCCCACTGCCATCGGTTTGTCCTTCAGCTCCGGGCAGTCTCTCATTTCTACAGCAGCATAGAACGCATCCATGTCTACATGAACTATCACACGGCCCAGCTCTCGACTCCTCTCCAGTTCACACGTCAGTTTGTCCACCTGTGGTATGAAAACTCTTAAATAATAATTCTGCCTGAACAGCTGAGAAAAGGAGTCCTAAAATTAATGCATTGTCCAGGTCATGTTTCACCTCAGTTTATATTTTGCATAAAGACAATACAGCTTATTTTAGGACCATTAAGATTCATTGCATGTGCCATTATTTTCATGACATTAAAGCACATTCCCCACCCCAACTGTCATTACCAAAATATTTTATTTTTGAGTTTGTAATTGTCATTATTTCTACAATTTTGTAAAAACATTAATGAGGGTCATCCTGCACAGACAGATGATTTTAAAAAAAAGTAATATCAATATAAATTAACCAAGATGCATAAATATTTTGAACGCTTTTGATTTAAATAATAGATTTTTTTTTTCAATATGATAGTGAGAATGAGATTTTTTTCACATTACAGTAATAAAACTGACACAGGAAATTTGTGTGTCCATATGGTGGGATTATTTATTCCTTCCCTTTCTAGCTTGTACTTATTTGAACAATGCCTAGAACTTGGTTTTACAAGCACTTCCTGCCTCTTTAAGAAGAATCGCTTTATGTATTCCCCAATTGTAAGTCGCTTTGGATAAAAGCGTCTGCAAAATGACTAAATGTAAATGTAAAATCCAATCATAACATTTATGACAATCATTACAGAGTTACCTCTGCTTGTGCTTGCTTCAGTTGTTCTTTCGTGATTCTTGCTTTTTGCTCCATCATCTTTTCAATGCGCTGATTCACCTGCTGCTCCTTCTTCAGTTCATTCTCATAAAATTTAGATCCCTGTCATTCAAAATAAGCAATAGGTCTTCTGTTCAACAATAGGTAATTGACATTAAGCTATGTAAACATTGTGTTGCACTTGTAAACATTGTGTTGCACTGTGACTTGCTATCTTGCTATACTTAATCTAAAACGATGTAAACAACATTTTGTTAGTTTATAATGATTACACATATTTAAAAAATTTGATATAATAATAAATTAGATTAAAATGAATAAGTAAATAAATCTAACAGTACAGAACTATAATATATATATATATATATATATGTATTATAAAATTACAAATATTTTCCAAATAATATTTTGACATATTCATAGTATTAAATTAAAGTATAAAAGGAAAAATATTTAGTGTGGCGGTCACTTCCATGAGGATGATCATATATGTCATCATCATACTGAATCATCTATGGCACCTACAAGATTGAAAACCCCTGACAAAGGCTACACTTTATAAAAACATTCATATAGCCTAAATACACAGCCCAAGTATGTATAATACTGTGTAACCCAAGTAAATAAATAGCTGTGCAAACCTTGGAGGTTTCCAGAATGATCTTGTTGATCTTGTCTCTGTCCAGCCCCTCCATGCCAGCTTTGTTATCATTGAGAGCGATCCTGGAGAGAAGATCAGCTCCAGAGCTGCTGCTCACAGCACCCTGATGATGACTCTCCATCTTCTCTATGTAATACTTTCACTTTCACCCGACTTACTTTGACTGGCTTAATTCATCTTTAGGGATGGAGCCAAATTAAAACCTGTAACCCAGTAACGTTAATCGACTGTCATGGAGGCTAAAAATCTGAAGTTATTCTGACAATAGGCAAAATAATGATTTTCCCCGTGCCTTTTGGTTGGATGAATATAGAATAAACAGATATCACTATTTTTTAAGAATTTGGTATTAACTGAGTTACTCGCCTGTCTCATAGATATATAGTTAAAGACACATTCACAAGGCAAGAATGTACAATGTTGTAACTAAAAAACTAGAATAATATACCGTCGACTCCGTATTTGAACGTCTTGTTCTTGAAGAGGAGCATATCCGGAATGAGCGTCTATATCGCCACCTGCTGTACTGGAATATGAACATAGTATGTGCAACCATTATTGGGGGTTTCAATGGACTTTAGGAGATTGTATGATTATTGTTTTCAAGTTGCAATTTAGAAGTAAACTTAAGTTAAGTTAAGTCAAGTTAACTTAACACCAAAATCACAAGCACATCACTTGATTTTTAAAACACGGAGAAGTTGTCACAAGTCTATCTACTAGCATGCTTTCTGACAAGAATCATGGTTGTCTTACATGTTACGACATGTGTTTTAAATGTTATAAATGTGCAAATCGTATTAGTTGCAATAGCTATTAATTACAATGGTTTTATAGTTTTATCTGTTTCATGAGTTGTTGTAGCCTATGTTCCAATAAAAAAAGCCCCATAGTGTGACAAAAATGGGTCATGTATGCTATATTTAGTTATTTATTTTGTGGTCGACTTTATGATAGGATATGTCTATACAAAAATGGATAAAAAAAAAAATATATATATATATAACGCATATTCTTCAGTGACAAGTAGTTCCTACATAAATAAGATTAGTTTTAACGCCGTTACAGATTGCACTGTATCGGTCAGAAAACTCAACTAAATAAGCGGTAATATAATTTTAGTTTGATTTTAGTTTCGCTTTTGGCTAGTGGCCAATGTCGAGAAACGATCGCTTGGTCTCGCGAGAGTTCATTAGGGCATTTTATCAGCATTTTATTTATTGTGAGTCATTTCCAAAATGTGTTTTTGCGCCCTTGCCTTGAATGGCATTTCGGGAAGAGGACACCATTTGTTGTGTTTGTTTGGAGTCCATAATTGTGATCTTAACTCCATCCGTAGGAGCAGCAATTGCGAATATCTCGCGATATTTTGCGACTGCCAACACTTCCACAAAAATGGATAAAAAAAAAAATATATATATATATAACGCATATTCTTCAGTGACAAGTAGTTCCTACATAAATAAGATTAGTTTTAACGCCGTTACAGATTGCACTGTATCGGTCAGAAAACTCAACTAAATAAGCGGTAATATAATTTTAGTTTGATTTTAGTTTCGCTTTTGGCTAGTGGCCAATGTCGAGAAACGATCGCTTGGTCTCGCGAGAGTTCATTAGGGCATTTTATCAGCATTTTATTTATTGTGAGTCATTTCCAAAATGTGTTTTTGCGCCCTTGCCTTGAATGGCATTTCGGGAAGAGGACACCATTTTGTTGTGTTTGTTTGGAGTCCATAATTGTGATCTTAACTCCATCCGTAGGAGCAGCAATTGCGAATATCTCGCGATATTTTGCGACTGCCAACACTTCCTTTACAGACAACGAAGAGTGGGCGAAATGTGAAAGACGAAAGAGGATCTGTATCTCTGTATCGGCGACTGACTAATATAAGTCTTACAAATGAGATTTATGCGTAAAAAGTAGTAAAAACAGTGCTGTGACATTTTTATTGGGTTTAACATATACTTTTGTGTTTTGATTTTATGGCGCGAGTCTCTTATAACTGGACACATTACGCAACATTTACTTTGTTTATCGTAAGAGGAACTGGCGTGTTTCCTCAAGAAAGCCAGCTAGATGGCTGATTTCACGGTGAAAGATATGGATTAAAAAGCGACGAAATGATCCGCCACATTTGCGTAGGGGTGGTTTTGACGCTGTTAATCAACATAGGTAAGAACACAAAAGGCATGATGCGTGGAACTGCAGTAACTGTACGTTAATATTTAAATGATTACTTACATATCCATAACACAGAATACCGCCTGTCTGTTTTATTTGAGAGGGGACATTCTGCTTAAATCCGCCTCAGGATGTCAAGATAGTCCGATCAAATCTTCAGTGGAAGAAGCCACCAGACGATGATGACAGTTTCCTGTATTCACTGCAGTATAAAACTGGCTCGTAAGCATGCTGTGTTAAAGGGATAGTTCAACTAAAATAATAATAATTCTGTCATCATTTACTCACCCTCATGTTGTCGCAAACCCTTATGATGTTCTTTCTGACACTAATTTCTTCTCTATTGTTACTTTGATTTTAGCAAAACAGGTGATGAATGGTACAATGTAACGAGCCACAACTGGACAGAATTCAGATTTCAAATCACTCCTGAGTTTTATGGAGCAGTATTTCGAGCGCGCGCAGAGAAAGGAATCAACGTGTCAGAATGGCAGTATTCCGATCCAGTCAAGTGTGTAAATGGTACGGAGTACTTTATGTTGTTATATATGCCTTCCATTTGAAATGAAAACATTTGTTTATCATCTCTAATATGTAACATAACTTATGTGCACATGCTCACATTCATATCTTTCTTTGTTTATCCTATTTTACAGCTAACTCCTGTGTTCCTGTGTTGAAACTGTCTGTGAAACCGGAAATGGTTTATGTGACTACAGCACATATGGACGAGAGCTTAGAAAAAGAAGATGGAGAAATGTTGCATTTAATTTATCATTCTGGAAAGTGAATAACGGAGGATACTCAAAGGTCTCTTGCATCCTTCACACAGAAAAAATCATGTAAACTTATTCATTCACTATATTTCTGTAAGAGGACTATTGTAAAGCTGACAAGAGTTTTTGATCCTTCAGGCAGAGTGTGTTATTACAAAAAGCAAGAATGAACACATTTTTAAACTGGAATCAGGGCAAAACTACTGTTTCCAGGTTCAGTATTTGCTCTACGAAAAGCCCTATGGGAACGTTAGCAACCAAATTTGTGCAATCATCCTGGAAACACGTAAGTCTTATTCACTTATTTATTACAAACTGCAACAGTATGATTCACATTGTTTGTGATTCAGAACACTAGAAATGAGTTCGTTTCATTCAGATGCTGAAATGAATTGCATGCTGTAATAAATTATGAATTTTGCTGACATGCTTTAATTTGTTTAACTGATAATTAATAATGCCTCCTGTTCTTTCATTCTTTTTTTCCTGTGTAGCTGAAACAATAAAGAGCCGTGCTTTACTCTATAGTATATTAACTTCATTTCTTGTTACGGCCATGTGTGGAGTCTGTATTTTTCTGCTTTTTAAACGCCACAAAAAGGTCAAACAGTTGTTACAGCCACTTCGCCTGGAAATTCCTGACCACTATCAAGAGGTACACCATATTTTAGAATGATCATTTCACTGAGATAAAGTAAAGTAACTGAATAGGAACTCTGTTAATATGGCAAATTATAACAGTGTACTACTTTTATGTGCAAGTTGTCAAATTTGTGTGAGTACTTAAAAGTCCTGCTACCAGGCAACTATACACTCTTAAATGGCCATGTATCAGCTAGAGTCAGATGTGAAAGTTTCTTCTTCTTCTTCTTCTTCTTCTACTTTGCATATCTTTTTATGCTCAAACAGCAACATTACAGACTAACTAAAGTTGAAAAAGTGAAAAAGCATAATAGGACCCCTTTAAGTTTAGAATGGCGATCCACTACCCAACACTGAAAGCAAGCGTCAGGTAGTCAAATACGTTGAGTGTAAATGTATTTAGTGTTGTTTTGCTGTTATGCTGCTGGTCTCTAAAAGCTACCAAACAAATTTCGTTGTATTTAGAGTCAGATGTTAAAGTTTCTTCTTCTTCTTCTTCTTCCTCTTCTTCTTCTTCTTCTTCTTCTTCTTCTTATTATTATTATTATTATTATTATTATTATTATTAAATAAGTTATATTTTCTCTCCCTGTATGTAGTTTTTTAGGTCTGGGTAGTTTCCTCTTCAAGCATGTCCAAGTCCCAGCAGTCAAAGTTTGCGGTCATATGACATGATCACAGTAATAGAGAACAGCCATTTGGAGCAGAAAGGCCAAGAAGAGGAACAAGAAAAAATCATTTTAACTTAACGATTGTGTGCATATTTATGCATATTCTTAGTTTATTTACCTTTTTTGGCAAATAATATACTTTGCACTTCACTAACAAACTATGCGTACAAATTCAGATCTGTCCTGTGTAAATATAGATTTTTGTTGAATACTGGTTCAGGATCAGAAGACATTTATATGAGCAATAGGGTATATATATTGTTTGGGTATACAGGGTATATTATTACTTGGGAGTAGTTTTTTACATTTATTTCAGCTATTTGTGTTAGATTAGATAGCAGTGTTTGACATTTCTAGTTCTATTAACACTAAATATGAAAATCATTGTTTGTTGCACCAGTTTTAGGACAATGTAATCACTATCTACATCTAATCTGCATAAGTATCTAGGATGGGGAAAGCAGGGGTTGAGCTCAAGTAAATAATTAAATTCCTTACCATAACCATTTAAATATGGTTAAATATATACGAAAATTGCAAATCACTAATAATTTAATTTGCTTGTTATTGTTTGGCACTGTATTGGCCACTCCATTCTATCTTCTGATGTTCCTTTCCTGTTACAACTCAACTCCTGTTACAACACAAGACACAAGTGCTCAGATTTTAGTATTAAGTATTGAATTACCTTAATATTATTTAAAATTCCTTCTTAATAGCAGTATACAGTTGGTCTTGTCTTCCCCACTTCTTGTATATTTATATATTTTCTATTTTCTGAATGTCCTTTTTTGTGAAAATTTTTTGTTATAATTATTGATTAATTATTAATTATCCATCATTTCAAAAATATAACATGGCATAGCATTTCATGTAACAAATACAATGATCTATGCTGATGAATTCTTTATGGAGGAAAGGAGGATCTTTGAAGAGTGGCATTATCTTAAAAAGTTGAGTCTGTGTCAGAGCTTATTTTAATTACATGTTAATTTGGGTTGCTTTTGATAAAATGTTCAGCTTGTTTGTATTTTGTATGTTACTGTAGAAAAAAATATGAAAGCCTTAATTTGTCATAGTGGCCATTTGACAAACAATACCAAGTTAGTAGTTGTGGTCAATGTTTTTTTTACACTGTGAAATAATAGTGGAGTTGAATGTATGTGGTTTGATAAATGACTTTCATATAATGTAATCATGAAAATACTTTACATAGATTTGAAACTACTGCTAATTGAGGAAAATCACTCGCTGTGTTTTCGGTTTAAGCCAGATATCAGACATTTGTCTCTGCACAACTGTGAAATCCCTGAAGAATGTAAACGTTTGTTGTTTGCTTTTCTTGTTTTCTTGCTCAAGAGGATTTGTGCAAGTTTCATAATTGAGAAAAAAGGTGATAGAAATAAAAAAAAGAAAAATAAAAGAAACAAAAACGGTTTCCTTTTCTTTGATTATTTAGATAAGGGTATAAAGTATTTATCCTAATTACACGATGTATACCGGTATATATCATGCTAATTTTACCTGGAGTTAAAACTTTTTTTGGCCACAAGAGGGCACAATCCTACTTGACATGAACCAAATGGTGTTGCTCTCATCTTCCCTTCATAAACCCTTCTGCTTTTTGAGAAAACCTAATCCTATATTGCAGCATTGCCCACCTGATGAAAAGACTCATCTGTTTGTTCATAAAAGCTGGAAGTGAAAAGCCATTTTAGTCTAAACTAACTTACTTAAACTTTTGCACCCTGTTTTCTTCTCAGAACATCCTTTCATTACATGAGGCTGAAGCAAAGAATGTGCCAGCGGCATACAATGTAATGTGTTGGATGGCTTTAGAGATGACAAGGAACAGTCTTAAACCCCTTAACTGTTCCTCCTGAAGCCTTTGTCTCAATATCTCCATCAAAGGAATGTTATTAAAAAGCCTCCATGCAGACCCACAGTGAGGAACAAAGGGCTTCAAATACTTAATGGCAGACAGACATGTTTGTCTAAGAGGCTGTTATTTTCATGGACCAATATCCCTTCTGAAAAAGCACCTTAAGCCAGCATTAGAAGTTTTGTTGGTCTTGGATGGTTTAGCTGGTTTGGTCTAACTTGGCTGCCATGATAGCCAAGCTGCTGTTTAGCTGGATGGTATTGTGTGAAAATTATTGGTTGAGACTGAAAGGAAGATATTGAGTCAACTTTCGTCTTTGTCTTTTATTATTTGCAAAGTGAGTCAACAAACATACAGCACATAGGCTATGCAGTATGCAGTTGTGACTGAGAGAGAAATTCCCCCCTAGCTATTATATTCTATGCTCAGACAGAAGATGTCTAGAAAAAGAGATGTGAGAGTGTCAGCAATAACTGGCTAAAACCAGTTATTTCTACCTCGGTGGTAAAGATGCCCAGGACGTTATATTCCTGTATGCAATAAAAATAGATTCACTTGAGCATTTAATATGCAGTCAAGTAAGAAATGAAGTAAACAAAGTAAATTTTTATCACAATGGCCAGTTGGTCTCCCAGCCTGATCATCTTAGAACCAGTCAGGAAGACCAGCTGGGCAAACCAGTTTAGGCTATTCTAAGCTATTTTGCTGTTTGTTTTTCTTTAGCAATGTCTGGAGTTCTTTTATGCTAATGGAATCAAAAGCTGTGCAGAACAACTCTTATATAGTTAGTTAATTTTGGACTATGGGTCTTATAAAACCATTCTTGTGTGCAATGGTCGATCTCTAAAGAAATGATTTAAAGCATGGAAAGAAGTTATTTGAAAAACTTTTGATTTAAAAGGATGGTTTAAAAGTTGAAGGTGATCATTGGCTTGGAGTCACAAAAAAATGGTCAAATGAACCTGTAAGAATGAATCCTCTTGTTACATGTTTTTTTTTTTTTTTGTAGACACAGACAGACAGACAGACGATAGATAGATAGATAGATAGATAGATAGATAGATAGACTACCAGTCAAAAGTTTTTGAACAGTAGATAGATAGATAGATAGATAGATAGATAGATAGACTACCAGTCAAAAATTTTTGAACAGTAATATTTTAAAGGGTTAGTTCACCCAAAAATGAAAATTAGGCTGCGTTTTACTCACCCCCGAGGCATCCTAGGTGTATATGACTTTCTTATTTCAGACGAAACCAGACGGAGTTATATAAAAAATTGTCTTTGATCTTTCAAGCTGTTTAATGCCACTCAGCGGGTGTTGCATTGCTTCAGTCCAAAAGAAGTTAAATAAAAATCGCCCATCCATAAAAAAAAAAGTGTCTCACAC